ACAACTTACTGAGGTTGCACAGCTGGTGAGTGGGGGAGCCAGGATTGAGTTTGCATGAATCCAAAGCCCACGTTCATCCACTACCTCAAAAAATATAGCTCATTTAGCCCAGCCGGTGTGGCACAGTGGCTGAGTGTTGACCTATGAACTAGGAGGTCATGGGTTTGATTCCAGGTCAGGGTACATGCCTAGGTTGTGGATTTGGTCCCCAGTGTGGGCCGTGCAGGAGGCAGCCAATCAAGGTTTCTATCTTTCTGCTCCCTCTCCCTTTTTGAAAAAATAAAATAAAATAATTATATATATATATATATATATATATTTCAAATATATATATACATATATTTTTTTAAAATAGCTAATTTAGCTAGAGTTTGTTTGCTCTTTACACCAAGCAATCCCCCCTACGCAGTGTGCACATTCTCTTGTTTCTCTCCCCTTTCTCTCCACAGCGGCCTCCTCTTGAAAGCAATAGGCTGGGTCAGAAAGGGGAGAGCAGTCCTCAGGCAAGAATTTCAGTGAGGATAGAGAAAGGTCCTAAATCGAGGATAGAGAAAGGTCCTAAATTTTGCTCTGCGTTAGGGAAAGAGGATAGACTGAACAGTTGGAAAAGTGAAAGGCAGAAAAATGTTTGGAAGGCTCTGGTGTGGAAATCATTGTGTGCAAATTTTAAGCTAATATGCTGGTGCCCTCAGGCAGACTTTGCTGGGAAAGCCTTTGCCTTGTCAGGTTTGGTAGGGGTTTTGTTTTTTGTTTGAAGAAGAGAAAGCCCATCTGTCCCCAATGGGCCTGTCCTTTCCTGTTCTTTCTTCTCCCTGCGGCCAGAGGAGAGGGGGCTGTACCCATAGTCCTAAGCTTACTGGGGCTCCAGTTTTGCCTCCTGTTCCACCGGCCAACCCGAACCCATGCCCTGGCTCCTCTTACGTGAGGGGCAGGCTCCTTCCTTGGCCCTTTGCCCTTTGCCCTTTGGCTTCTGTAATTCTCTGATTCTGAAGTCACGCAAGGCTTGTGTGGTCTCAGGGCCTGCCTTTCAGCATTGAGCCTTTCTCTCCACCTCATAACAGCTCTATTTTGGTATCTTTCTGGGTCCTGCTGTGCATCTTGGAGCCTTGTGACTCCCTGGTTTCCCCCTGTTCTAAGTAATGTGTATCTGCCTTCTGAACAGGGCGTGCATATCAAGAAATAGGGATTCTCAGCCTGGCCGGTGTTGAGCGTCAACCTATGAACCAGGAGGTCAGTTCGATTCTGGTCAGGGCACATGCTTGGGTTGTGGGCTTGATCCCAGGGGTGGGGCAGGGGAGGCGGGAGGCAGCCGATTATTTTCTTTCATCATTGATGTTTCTCTCTTTCCCTCTTCCTCCCTCTCTTAAATCAATAAAAATAATTTTTTAAAAATTTTAAAAGAAATAGGGATTCTCGACCAGCTTTTTACAGGGTACCTTTCTGTCCACCTCCAAAGAAGAATATTTGCAGTTCAGTGAAAGTAGCCCTTCCATACTTCCCATCTGGAAGGTGGGAATATACCAAAGCAAAATAAAAGTATCTTCTGTTCCTCCATAGCTTTCTCCTCCCTTCCCCCATGAGGGGAGGGCGCATTGGGGAGGGAGACAGAATGGAGGGACAGCAAGGGTGCTCTGGAGACGAGGGCCTCTTAGGTTAGGATTGGAAGATTCATCTTGGGGGATGACTACACCCTCAGAACTCTCCACCCTCCCTTGGCTCCAGGCCTGCCTCCTCCCATCCCCCTCGGTGGCAGCAGCCTTGTAATTTAAAGCTCTCTCTGTCGCCTCTAATGTGATCCTCTCGTTTTATTGACTCTCTCTGCCGTCTGTGGCGCCCCTTCACATCAATCTCCGTTCTAATCACACCGCCGCCACTGCCTGCTCCGTCTCCCCTCACCCTCTCCTCCTGCCCCCCCCCCCCAGCCCTTGCCTCTACCCAGCTTTCCTTTTGACTGCCCCACCACCACCCTACACCTGATCCATCCTCTTCCTCCTTCCCTCCCAGAGGCAGGAATGTCAGGGCCTTTGAGGGGTTGCCTTTTCCCTTTTCCCTGCAAGATGTGCCCCGAGGGAGAAGAGGCCCTAAGGAAAGCCCAGAAGTAAGAGAGGAATGCAGAGGTCTGAAGAACAGGATTCTGTGTGAGGGTGACTTAGGCTTGTCATCTGGGTCTGCATCATCTCCAGAAAGAGATGAAAACTGAGTTCAAGGTTCGAAGGGCAAAGAAAAGGACTTGGAGATTCAGAGAGGGAAGGAAAGAAAGACTGAGAAGGAGGGAAATGAAGGGAAAAAAGTGAAAAAATAATTGCTGCAGTTAAAGGTTTGTAATAAACAGTGAGTGATGGGAGAAGCACAGAGAAGGAAGAGGGAGGAGGAGTGGGAGGGGGGGGGTGAACTGAGGCAGAGATAAATTTGCAATTGAAATTCTTTCCCGAAGAGGAGGAGGGGCAGGGTGGGAGGTGGGGAAGAGATTTGCAAGTTTAAACAGCTGCCGACCTACCCTAGGCAATCTGAGTCTCACATAGGCTAACCTAAAGCTCAGCTCCTTTGCTTTCTAGCTATGAATCAGCGAGGAACCCACCCTCACCACAACCACCACCCACCTAGTATTGGGAAGTAGCATCTTTGGTGAGAGGATTTGGGGCTTAGGTCTTCCTAGCTCTCCTCTGAAGTTGGATCTAGAGTTTAAGTCGGGAGCCAGGGAGAAGGAGTGGAGCTGGTCGATGTGATACAGGCAGGTGGGCCAGGGGAAGACGGTGCATTTGGTTCTGGCCTTGGTGACAGGGCCCCGGGGCGACCCCTGTTGCCTGGCCTCGTCTTTCCCATTAGGTGGGGCAGTGAGTGAGTGGCACTGGGCCCCCCACTGTGGGAGTGGGACCTGCAGTGTCAGATCCTCACACACTTACCCCCCGACCCTCACCCCCACCCCCAAGTTCTGTAGGAAGAATACCTTCCTCCTACAATGTCAGGGCTTCTTTCTGGTCATTTCTGGAGGATAGACTCCCCTCCATCTAATTCCTTTACTTCCTTTTTGGTTCTCCACACTCCGCCCCCATTCCTCCACCCCTGCCCAGGTGCTTATTTGCATTTTCATTAGCATGCAGTTCAGCCCCACTTGGAGTTCCTTAATGGCTTTGACTTCACGCCTGGCTAGCCCCCCAGGAGGGGGACAGAATTGGGCCTGCAGGCTGATGACCAAGGACCCATTCCAAACTCAGGAATCTGGAGCTGGTTCAAGGTGGCCCTAGGACGGAGAAGGCCATACACCTCATCCCTTCCTTGAAGCACTCTGGCCTGAGCGCTAAAGGTTTAATCATTAGAGATCTGCTGATATTAAGAACCAGAGAGGTTGTAGGCCACTTGGGACAGGAGAGAAGTATAGGATGGTGAGGCGTGGGGAACTGGTGAGTTTGGGAGGCGGGTGTAGTATCAAAATAAAAAGGTTGGGAGCAGCATGCTGAGGCTTGGTACTTCTAGACCGCTAGAGGGCGCCCAGGAATCCTGATTTCTAGACCTTTGGGGGTCCATTTTGCCTGTACCATGTCTGAGGGACAGTCTGACTGGATGGAGGAGCCCAGGCCACAGCTTCGGGCTCTAGCTCTGCCCTCCAGTCCTTTTCTAGTTTTACCACTTGGAGCTGCGTGACCATCAACAACTCGCTCAGTCTCTCTGTTTCTTGGCTGATGCATGTGTAAAATAAGGTTATGAGATTAAATGAGATGATGTAAAGCATTTAACCCAGTGCTAGGACCATCACTTACACTAGCTATTAGTAAGATTACTACTATTTTTTATTATCTTTTTATCTCTTTGGGGAGAAGGAGGCTAATCAGATAAAAGCTGCTGTCTTCCAGCTGGCCAGAGATAGGTCTGGAAGGTATCTTCGAGCAGCACGATGCCTACGGGCCAATGGAAACTTCACCGTAGCCTCTCTGGCAAGAGGGCCTTAACTCAGGGACGAAACCTCTTCTGGGGGGTTGTTTAGCTTCTAGAGAGAAGCTTGTTGGCAGAGGCTGTATTTAAGCAGAGACCTGAGTGACAAGGAGCCACCAGGAGAGCATTCCAGGCAGAGCACACAGCCTAGGCAGGCTCTAGGGCAGGAATGAACCCGGTGTGTTTGAGAAGCAAGGCCACTGGGCTGGAGCTGGCCAGCCAGGCAGTGGAGGGAGGACAGGCAAGCAGGTGTCAGATCAGATAGGCCCTTTTGTAAATCAGGGAAAGGAGTTTGGATTTTACTTACAAAGCAGTGAGAAATCATTGATGGATTTTAAGTAGAATATAGTATGATGTAAATCTTAAAAGATGATTCTTTATGATGCCTGAAATTTGCTTTAAAATCATACAGAAAAAGGGGGAGGGGTGGGTAAGGATAGAAATGAAACAAGATTGGCCATGAGGGCCATGAGTTGGTGACTGTTGACACTACGTGCTGAGTACAAAGATGTTTCTTATCCTGTTTGGTCTACTTGACATTTTCATAACTGAGAAATAAATGAAAGCTCGGCTGGATGCTGGGTGGGAGGAAATCGGACTGGAGGGGCAGTGGTAGAATCATTGCATTAGCTCAGGAGAGAGGTGAGGGTGGCTGGGCCGGGGAGTGCTGGTGTAGATGAAGACAAATGGAGGGATGGGACACATGTTTGAGAGGTTGCTGTCAATTGCATATTGTGGAGCAAGAGAAATTTTTAGGTTTTTAGCTTAAGCAACCAGATAAATAGTTGTACCAGATTCTGAGATAGGAAAGATGGGGAAGAATACATTCAGGGGAGGAATAAGGAGTTCTGATTTTAGACATGTTAAATTTGAAGTGCCTGTTGGACACTAAGTGAAGTCCCAATGTGGCACATGGTACCTGAGTCTGGTGCTCAGGGAAGAGGGTGGGGCTGGAGGAGCAGGAGAGCGAGCTGCGCTCTTCCCGGCTCCCTGACAACGCCGCTCTCTGTTTCCCCTGCAGGGTCCTGGCTGTCACGCTGAGATGAACCCCCAGCACTCCTCCGTCTGCCATGGCCACCCTTAGCTCATCCTCTACTGCTGGCTCCACCCCACCCCCTGGGCACAATGCCCCGCCCCCGCCTCTGGACACCTCCTCCCCCAGCATCCCCCCTGACCTTGTCACCAAAGATCCCCCTGCTGCCCCCTGCACCTCTGAGAGCATGAGGTCCTCAGAGCCAGGGGGACAGCCTCTGGATTCGGGCTGTAGCCTCATCCCACCAAAGGACTTGGGGGTGGAAGAGGACAAGGAGCAGGAGGAGGACGGAGGAGGGCTCCCTCCTGTGGACCTCAGTAACCATTTATTCTTCACCGCTGGCGGAGAGGCCTGCCTAGTGGCCAAGCTGTCCCTGCCGGGCGGCAGTGAACTGCTGTTACCAAAGGGCTTCCCCTGGGGTGAGGCGGGCACCAAGGAAGAGCCCAGCCTACCCCTCCCGCCCCCTGCACCCCTCACTGCCCTTCACATCCAACATGGCTTTGACCCAATCCAAGGCTTTAGCTCTTCTGACCAAATTCTGTCCCATGATACCTCAGCGCCATCTCCGGCCACCTGTGAGGGAAGGGATGGAGCCTTCTGGAGCTACCAGCTAGCACCAAACCCACCCGGAGATCCCAAAGATGGCCCCATCGGGAGCAAGGGGGGAGACCGCCGGGCACTGTTCTGGCTCTGCCTCCTATGCCGTCTGGGTTTCAGCCAGTCCCAGGCCTTCACGGGCCATACACAGTCTCATGGGGTGAAGCTGACCTCTGCCCAACACCAGGGCCTAAGAGGCAACCCCGCTGTGCTCCAGGAGGGGGATGAGAGCTGCACGGCCCTCCTAAGCTTCCTGGAGCCAAAACCTCCTGCTTGCCCCACTTCAGAAATGCCTCCTGACACCAGCAGCACAGTGAGCCTGGAGGCGGATGTAGCCCAGACTGAGGGCGGCTGCCCGGAGGCAGAAACCCAAGCCCCGGTTCTGCCTGCAGAAGACGCCCTATCCCTCAGTCTGCCTTCCCCACCCACTACCCCCGCCACTTGGGATCCCAGCCCAGCCCAAGCCAAAGAATCACCGACGGCAGCAGGGGAGGCAGGCCCAGACTGGTTCCCCGAGGGGCAAGAAGAGGATGGAGGGCTCTGCCCCCCACTTAACCAAAGCTCACCCACCTGCAAGGAGGGGGGCGCTCTCCCCGTCCCAGCGGGCTCCCCCGGAGACCCCAGTGAGCCACCCCAGCCCTACCGCCTAGCCGAGGACTACACCCCGGCCCCCGCAGCCTTCCAGGGCCTCAGCCTGTCCAGCCACATGTCTCTGCTTCACTCGCGCAATTCCTGCAAGACGCTCAAGTGTCCCAAGTGCAACTGGCACTACAAGTACCAGCAGACCCTGGATGTGCACATGCGGGAGAAGCACCCCGAGAGCAACAGCCACTGCAGCTACTGCAGCGCCGGGGGCGCCCACCCCCGCCTGGCGCGTGGCGAGAGCTACAACTGTGGCTACAAGCCCTACCGCTGCGACATCTGCAACTACTCCACCACCACCAAGGGCAACCTCAGCATCCACATGCAGTCCGACAAGCACCTGGCCAACCTGCAGGGCTTCCAGGCTGGGCCCGGGGGGCAGGGGAGCCCCCCGGAGGCACCGCTCCCGCCCTGCTCTGGGGACAAGGAACCCAAGACCAAGTCGTCCTGGCAGTGCAAGGTGTGCAGCTACGAGACCAACATCTCTCGCAACCTGCGCATCCACATGACCTCCGAGAAGCACATGCAGAATGTCCTCATGCTGCACCAGGGGCTGCCGCTGGGCCTGCCGCCTGGGCTGGTGGGGCCAAGCCCTCCACCCCCCACAGGCGCCCCTGCCACTCCGCCTGATCTCTTCCAGTACTTCGGGCCGCAGGCCCTAGGGCAGCCCCAGGCTCCCTTGCCTGGCCCTGGGCTGAGGCCGGACAAGCCCCTGGAAACCCAGCTGCTTCTCAACGGCTTCCACCACCTCGGAGCGCCTGCCCGGAAGTTCCCCGCACCTGGTAAGCTCCCTGGCTCTGCTCCTCTTCCCCTTCACTCCCCTTCGGAGGTCAAACTCGATTCCCTGCTCTCTCCCAAGGGCCACCCCCACCCCCCCCCACCCCCTTTGGTAACACCAGTGCCCTCAGCATTATCCTCCTTTACCTACATTCCCATAGACAAAACTGACCCTGCTCCCTTCCTTCCTTGGGCCACTAACCTGTCTCTGTCCCCCAGCCCCTGGCGGCTTCTCCCCGGACGCCCACCTGCCTCAGGGTCAGCTCCTGGGCTCCTTGTCCGAGGGCCTGCCCACCTCGCCGCCCCCCGAGGACAGCCCGGCTCTGAGGGTGTTCCGCTGCCTGGTGTGCCAGGCCTTCAGCACCGACAGCCTGGAGCTGCTGCTCTACCACTGCAGCGTGGGCCGCAGCCTCCCGGAGGCCGAATGGAAGGAGGTGGCCGGTGACACCCACCGCTGCAAGCTCTGCTGCTACGGCACCCAGCTCAAGGCCAACTTCCAGCTCCACCTCAAGACCGACAAGCATGCTCAGAAGTACCAGCTGGCAGCCCACCTGAGGGAGGGCAGCGGGGCTACGGGCACTCCCTTGCCCATGCCCCTGGGAGATGGGACTCCTTATGGGTCTGTGCCCCCCCTGCACCTGCGTTGCAACATCTGTGACTTTGAGTCCAACAGCAAGGAGAAGATGCAGCTGCACGCCCGGGGGGCAGCCCACGAAGAGAACAGCCAGGTCTACAAGGTGAGGGGCAGAGCAGCTGCCTCGGGGAGAGGGAAGTGGAGAGGGAGGGGAAAGCCCAAGGTGGCAGAACTGGAGAAAAGGGCATGTAGGGCCCAGCCGGCGTGGCTCAGTGGTTGAGCATCAAGCTATGAACCAGGAGGTCATGGTTCGATTCTCCATCAGGGCACATGCCCGGATTGCGGGCTCGATCTCCAGTGGGTTGTGTAGGAGGCAACGGATCAATTCTCTCTCATCATTGATATTTCTATCTCTCCCTCCCCCTTCCTCTCTGAAATCAATAAAATTTAAAAAAATTAAAAATAATTTTTTAAAGCATGTATCATGCACAGGATAATACATTGTTTAGGAAAAAAGATGCGGAGAAGGAGGCCAAGGATGGTGGACTCAGTCGAACAAAGTGAATCCAATATTTTACTCCGCTTTTCTGGTGTTTGGGGCTGGAGAGAGGACTCTGCCCATCTTATCGCCAGAAGTCTGAGAACAGAACCAGATTCCATTCACACACCAGGAGAGCCCAGGGTGGGAAGGAGGAAGAGGAGACTGGGGAGAAAAAGCAGTAATACTCAGATGGCCTTAGGAAGGAATAGGGGAGCTCAAGAGGGTGGAAGGGCTGGGTGGGGGTGCTGCCGGTGAGGCTCCCTTGGGGAAGGTAAAGGAGATCTGAAGGTAACTGTTCCTTCTGGGCCTGAGCTGCCTTTTTCCGTTTTTCCAGTTTCTTCTGGAGATGGAGGGGGCCGAGGCAGGGGCAGAGCTGGGACTGTTCCGCTGCCTGCTGTGTGCCTGGGAGACGCCCTCCCGCCTGGCGCTGCTGCAGCACCTGCGGGCACCGGCCCACCGCGACGCCCAGGCCCAGCGGCGCCTGCAGCTGCTGCAGAGCGGCCCAGCAGCCGAGGAAGGGCTCTCGGCTCTTCAGAGCATCCTTAGCTTCAGCCATGGGCAGCTCCGGACTCCAGGTGAGGCGGAGGGGATGGGAGCGGTAGGGCTGGGCAGAGAGGGCAGCTGGCATGGAGCTGAGGGCTGATGAGAAAGTGATACAAGGGGGAACAGGTCTGCTCCAGATTTCAGGAACAGTGGGACTGCCGAGTGAAGTGGGGAACAAGAGGCTGTTGGAGGGAGGAGGCAGAGAAGGGCAGGGACTTTGCTGAGTGGAAAACAGAGAACAATCCTAGCTGGTTTGCTCAGTGGATGGAGTGTCAGACTATGGCGAAAGGGTTCTGGGTTTGATTCTGGTCAAAGGGGCACATACCTTGGTTGCAGGCTCCTCCCCAGCCCGGGCTCTACTCGGGGTGTGTATAGGAGGCAACCAATCTATAAGTTTCTCTCACATCGATATTTCTGTCTTTACTTCTTCCCTCTCTCTAAAAATCAATGGAAAAATGTCCTCGGGTGAGGATTTAAAAACCAGAGAACAGGAAGGGAGGTGAGGAGGAGTCACCCAGTGGTTCCAAGTACTGACCAGTGTCCTAGCACCGCTGGGTAGGGGGCGAGGGCAGAAGCTGGTCAGGAAGGGCAGAGGCAGAAAGAACAGAATGGGCCAGGGCATAGGGAAATTGATGGGAGCTGTGGGCATGTCTGAAGGCAGCCTAAGTGGGAAGCTCTTGACAAGCTCCCCAGCCTTTTCCTGTCTCCCAGAAGGCCTTCAGCCTGAAGGCTGGGCTGAGGGTCCCCCAAGGCAGCTGATGGCAGGGTGTAACTGCAGAAACTGGGAGGGGCCCACCCGGTGCCAATGATCCAGAGGGTGCAGGAGAGGGCCCTGGAAGGGGCTGTCAGAGGTGAGCACAGCTTCCAGGATTCAGAGACCAGTGGTGGGCGAGGGTGGGGCTCAGGCAGCAGGAACCGGGAACAGGCAGCATTGACTGTGCTAATTGAATTGCCAATATGCTGGCTGGAGTTAAGTGCCGGAGGGGCCCAGATCAATAGCTAACGATCCTGGCGCTAGGCTGAATGGAGTTAAGGAACTTTAACACTTTAATTAGGCCGCCACTGAAAATAAATTCCTACACATCTGTCAATTCTGACTTGAGTGGTAATCTCCTCTCCCAGTTAGACCTGCCACCTCCTGCTCATTGCAGCTGCTTCTGTGCAACCTCACCTTTCTTCTTCAGCTCCTCTCCCTCTACATTTCTGGGCTCCTTGCTTCCAGGGTCAGTCAAGACAAGGAGCTGAGTTTGGTCCTGTTTCTGTCACCTACCGCTGGACTTGCTTGCTTATCTTCACGTGATAGGGGCTGGACTCCCAGGGGTGATTTCCTAGGCTCTCCTTCTCTGTATTTCTTTTTTGTCCTCCTCTGCCTGTTGATTCATCCATCCATTTTCTCCCTCACTGCCTGGCTGGTTGTCCTGATGCTTCATCTTTATAAGATGACTCTCCCCTCTACACAGGGAAGGCTCCTGTTGCCCCCTTAACTGAGCCACCCACTCCTGAGGAAGATGCCCAGAACAAGACAGAACAATTAGGTGAGTTGCTTTTCTGGTTAATTTCCCTCCATCCCTTGCCCTCCCCATCCCTAATCCTAATACATTTTGAGATGCTCTTGGGAGTTTGCAGTATCCACACACCCTGCGAGGCCTGGGATAAAGGAGCCAAAGTGACCCAAGGAAGGACACATCAGAGGGGAGGGAGGCAGAGCCACAGAGGGCTGGGTGCTTCTGTTCTCTTCGAGGACCCAAACCTGGCCATCCCACTGACCTGGCTCAGCCCTGCTGTGCTCAGTATAGCTCTGTACGGTCCTGCCCTTTCTACCTTTCCCCGGAGCCCAGCCCCATACCCTGGAAGCTCTGTGTACAAATCAGGTCACCTAAGAGCTGAGGGTCTGTGAAAAGCAGAGGGAGGTCTGGGGAGTCTCTTAATCTTCTCTCCTTTCATCTTCAGCTTCTGAAGAGGCAGAGAGCAAGACTGGGCCTCCTGGAGACAGTGCCAACCAGACCACGGTCAGAACTGGGGTAACTGGGAAGAGCTGATGGGGGGTCTAGTTTTACTGAGATCTGCTCATGTTCTAAATGCTGACATTCTAATCAGCAGAGCTTGACAGAGATTTCAGACCAAGGGTAGACCTAATTTTGTCATGCTTGTGACTTATTTAACTCAAAATACATGATTTAAGAAATCCTACTTGGGCCCAGTTATGGATGTTCTGGACCAACAGGGGGCACAGCTGGTGCCCAGGATGGAGCACAGAGGGAGATGACAGAAAGGGTGGCAGGAATTTGAGGGAAAGGTGAAGAGAGAAGCAGTCCTGAGGGCAGGAAAGATTGGAGGTAGGTGGAGGGAGGAGGGGAGGAAAGAAGTGAAGAAACAAAGCAAGGCAAAGACAAAAAACTAGCTGCCGCCCGGCTCTTTATTTCTGTATAAACAGAAAGGCAACTAGACATGGCTGTTCATCTCCAACGGGAAGCCCTGAGCCTGGAGGGGTGTCCTGGCACCCTCTCCCCGAGGGGAGAGGCACCAGCCCAGATGATTCATCCCGACAGCAAGCTCTGCAAATCTCTGTCTCTGGACCCACGCCTGACCTAGGCAGGCCCAGTAGTCTAGCTCTGTGGCCTGAAAGTATTGATTGTGAATGCCTCACAGCTCTCCACACTGGACTGCAATATGCAGTATTTATCATGACTGCCTTGCTCCAAACTGCTGCAGCAATGGCTTATGTCCTCAGCTTCCCCTCCTCCTAACCCTACTCCCTCGACAGACCCACTCCAGATGTCTGCTCCTAGGTCTAGGGGCATTCAGATGAGCACCCCTTCCTACTCTGCAGGCCTGGACTGATGGATGGCACAGGGGGCAGGAGAGGGCGTGCGCCAGGGAGACAAATGCAGGCTGGAGATCAGGCACACAGGTGACTCGGGGAAATAGAGAGGCCCCCGGGCTCCCCAGTCCCATCCTCCAGAGATGTGGGCAACAGTGCACTAACAGGGTCAAGCCAGAATGTCCTGAGCCACGGAGGAAGCTATGGTCATTGTTTGCATTAAGAAGGGAAGAAAAAGAAAAAAAGAAAGTGGGAACTGCTGAGCCTCTGAGGGAGAATGAGCTGGCTTCTGAACAGACAGGTGGGGAAACACTTAGTTTAGGGAACTTGGGGAGCACAGTGGGCCAGGACAAGGGGGACTCTGGGTGCAGGAAGTGCCAGAGGAGAGGGGAACCATTTCCGGGAGAAGATACAGGCAGTGTGAGGCTGGGTAAGGAAACTAAATCCCAGGGAGGGAGCTACAGGGCCATACTGTCAGCTGGAGAACTGAGACAAGGAAAAACAGAGACCAGGATGGAGTACGAGGGCAAGACAAAGAAAGAAGGCTTAGGCCTTCGTCCCAGTCCGTGGGAAACCAGGGAGGAGCCAGCTTTCAGGACTGTGGCTGGGTCCACAGTGGCGCCTTCCCCTCGGGCTCACTTCTTTGCTGGGGGTGGAGACTGCGCTGTGTGCAGGAGCGTAAAGGCTAAGTGATGGCAGGTGCCTCCTGTGCCTGACACACGCTCCGCCCGTGTGCCCCCAGGTGTACTGCTGTCCATACTGCAGCTTCCTGAGCCCAGAATCCGAGCAGGTGAAGTCTCATGCACTCTCCCAGCATGCAGTGCAGCCTAAGTACAGGTGCCCGCTGTGCCAGGAGCAGCTGGTGGGCCGGCCTGCCCTGCACTTCCACCTTAGCCACCTTCACAACGTGGTGCCTGAGTGTGTTGAGAAGCTGCTGCTTGTGGTGAGTACAGGTTGGTGAGGGCCTGTCCGAGAGCCCTGTCAGACGGGGCAGAGGGCAGGCAGAGGCAGGGGTGCCGGACAAGTATAATAAGTGTGTTGGGAGGTGGGTGTTGGTGAAGGAAACAGCATTTCAGATTTGAAGGTGGATTTTGGAGTTGGAGGGAACCTAGTGGGGCTTATCTAGCTGCCTTACTCGCCTGAGAGGAGGCTAAGCATTTCCTTCACTCACATTATGTCCCGAGAAGAGCTGTTCAGCAGCAGGCCCGGCTGCCAGTCCTCTCCTCTGAGGGAAAAGCAGACTTTAGGTGGGAGGTCTCTCCAGAGACAAGACTGGAGCCGCGCAGGGGGCTGCGCATAGGCACGGCAGTACCAGAGGGTGTGAAGGAAGTCACTGGGGTCTCTTCCATTACAGGCCACTACTGTAGAGATGACCTTTGCAACCAAAGTGCTGCCCGGGCCCTCTCTAAGCCCTCTGGGGGATGGGCCTGGGCCCCTGACTCCCGGGCCAGAGCCTGCACCCGGCAGAGACCAGGCAGCAGGTAAGGAAGGGGATGGCAAACCTCCCAAGGTGGCAGGAAAGGGGACCTGGGCTTCACAGACCAGGAAGGTCTGAAGGAACAGAGGGATCAGTTGCCCTTGATATTGAGTGGGTGGGGTCTGACTTAAAGTTTCCTTCTCATTGCAACCCCTTCTCTCCCCTAGAAGGCCCTCACCCGCCTCCAGAAGCCAGTCCCGGGCCTCTTCCTGAGCCTCCTCTGCCCTCAGCCGAGGCCCCAGACAGGCCCACAGGAAGCCCTGACCAACCCCCCTCTCCAGCCCCATCTCCTGCCCCTCAACCTGACACCCAGGCTGAAGAAATGGCTCCTCTACCCGCCATGGCTGAGGAAGAAGAGGGGGCTGCTGGGGAGCCCCGCCCTGCAGAGCCAGCTCCAGCGGACTCGCGCCCCGCTCTGACCTACCGGAAGACCACCAACTTCGCACTGGACAAGTTCCTTGACCCCGCCCGGCCCTATAAGTGCACTGTGTGTAAAGAGTCCTTCACACAGAAGAATATCCTGCTGGTCCATTATAACTCCGTCTCCCACCTGCACAAGATGAAGAAAGCAGCCGTTGACCCCTCTGGCCCTGCCCGGGGAGAGGCTGGCTCCGCGCCCGCCACCACTGCGGCCACAGACAAGCCCTTTAAGTGCACAGTCTGCAGGGTCTCCTACAACCAGAGCTCCACCCTGGAGATCCACATGCGCTCAGTGCTGCACCAGACTCGTTCGCGCGGGGCCAAGACTGATGCCAAGACTGAGGGGCCAGAGCGTGGCCAGGAAGAGCCCAAAGACGGCGAGGCTGAGGGGGAGGCGGGTGCTGAGAAGAAGGGCCCCGACCCCAGTGGCTTCATATCTGGGTTGCCCTTCCTGTCCCCTCCCCCCCCTCCCTTGGACCTGCACCGATTCCCAGCCCCTCTCTTCACCCCACCGGTCCTGCCCCCCTTCCCTTTGGTGCCCGAGTCACTGCTTAAGCTCCAGCAGCAACAGCTGCTCCTGCCCTTCTACCTCCATGACCTTAAGGTGGGGCCCAAGCTGGCACTGGCTGGGCCTGCACCCCTGCTGTCCCTGCCAGCTGCCACCCCTCCGCCCCAACCCCCACCCGCGAAGGCGGAGCTGGCTGAGCGGGAATGGGAGCGGCCCCCCATAGCTGAAGAGGGAACCGAGGCAGGGAAAGCCTCGCCCCCCGAACCAGCACCCAATGAGGCAGCCCACACTGCTGCAGCCAAGGCCCTTCTAGAAAACTTCGGTTTTGAGCTGGTGATTCAGTACAACGAAGGGAAGCAGGCTGTGCCCCCTCCTCCCACCCCACCCCCACCAGAGGCTCTGGGGGGTGGGGACAAGCTGGCCTGCAGGACCTGTGGGAAGCTCTTCTCTAATATGCTCATCCTCAAGACACACGAGGAGCACGTCCACCGCCGCTTTCTGCCCTTCGAGGCCCTGAGCCGTTACGCTGCCCAGTTTCGAAAGAGCTATGATAGCCTGTACCCGCCCTCTGCAGAGCCCCCCAAACCTCCTGATGGGTCTCTGGACTCACCTGCTCCCCAGCTGGGGCTACCCTTCCTGGTGCCAGACCCCGAGACAGAGGTGGGCCCTCCCCCCGAGGAACGAAGCCGGACAGGACACTGGCCCCCAGAGGAGGAGGAAAGCGCCAGAGGGCCTCTCCCTCCCTTGCTACCCGCGGGCCGCCGATTCTCCAGAACCAAGTTCACCGAGTTCCAGACCCAAGCCCTGCAGTCTTTCTTTGAGACCAGTGCCTACCCCAAAGACGGAGAGGTGGAGCGGCTTGCGAGTCTCTTGGGCCTGGCCAGCCGTGTGGTGGTCGTGTGGTTCCAGAATGCCCGCCAGAAAGCACGCAAAAATGCCAGCGAAGGCGGGCCCGCACCCACCACGGGAGGCACTGGTGGAGTCTCCGGCTGCAGGCGCTGCCACACCGCCTTCTCCTGTGTGTTTGAGTTGGTGCGACACCTTAAGAAATGCTATGATGACCAGCCCCTGGAAGAGGAAGAGGCAGAGAGAGGGGAAGAGGAGGAGGAAGTAGAGGAGGAAGATGCAGAGGAGGAACAGGGCCCGGAACCCCCAAAATGTCCCAAGGGCCCATCACCAGAACCTCCAGACAGGGAAGAGCTGAGCCAAGCAGAAGCCACAAAGCCAGAGGGCAGAGAGCCCGGAGGGAGGGCTTCCCCCTCCCCTTCCCCAGCCCACGCCTGTGACCAGTGCGCCACATCTTTCCCCAGCCAGGACCTGCTGACCAGCCACCGCCGCCTGCACTTCCTGCCATCCATGCAGCCCAGTGCTGCCCCCCACCTCCTAGATCTACCCTTGCTGGTGTTTGGGGAGCGGAACCCCCTGGGGGCAGGCACTCCGCCAGTGCCAGGGCCTCCCCTCAAACGGAAGCACGAGGACGGTAGCCTGTCTCCCACGGGCAGTGAAGCGGGGGGCGGAGGGGAAGGTGAGCCCCCCAGGGACAAGCGCCTGCGCACCACCATCCTGCCCGAGCAGCTGGAGATCTTGTACCGCTGGTACATGCAGGACTCCAACCCAACGCGCAAGATGCTGGACTGCATCTCCGAGGAGGTGGGGCTCAAGAAGCGGGTGGTGCAGGTCTGGTTCCAGAATACCAGGGCCCGGGAGAGGAAGGGCCAGTTCCGAGGCACCCCTGGGGGAGTGCCCAATCCGGCGGCCAAGCCCCCCCTCACACCCAGCCCTGCGCCCTTCCCCAAGTTCAACCTCTTGTTGGGCAAGGTGGATGATGGGACTGGGAGGGAGGCCCCCAAAAGAGAAGCACCTGCTTTTCCCTTCCCCACGGTCACCCCTGCTGCAGGGCCCCTGCCTTTCCTGCCTCCTGGGAAAGAGGCCACCGTCCCACCACCTGAGCCACCTCTGCCTCCCCCTCCTCCCCTTCCCCCCTGTGAGGATGAGGGCCCAGAGGAACCCACAAAAGCTTCTCCAGAGAGTGAGGCTTGCAGTCCCTCTGCAGGTGATCTGAGCGATTCGTCTGCTTCCAGCCTGGCCGAACCAGAATCCCCTGGGGCTGGAGGAGCCAGCGGGGGGCCAGGTGGGGCTGGGGTTCCAGATGGAATGGGGCAGCGGCGCTATCGGACCCAGATGAGCAGCCTGCAGCTGAAGATCATGAAAGCCTGTTATGAAGCCTACCGCACCCCCACGATGCAGGAGTGTGAGGTGCTGGGAGAGGAGATTGGGCTCCCCAAGAGAGTCATCCAGGTGTGGTTCCAGAATGCTCGGGCCAAGGAAAAGAAGGCCAAACTGCAGGGGGCAGCCGTCGGCGGGGCCGGGGGCAGCAGTGAGGGCCCCTCCGGAGCCCAGCGCACTGACTGCCCCTACTGCGATGTCAAGTACGATTTCTATGTCTCCTGCCGAGGCCATCTCTTCTCCCGCCAGCACCTGGCCAAACTCAAGGAGGCGGTCCAAGCCCAGCTGAAGAGTGAAAGCAAGTGCTACGACTTGGTCCCAGCACCTGAGGCAGCTCCGGCTCCCAAGGCCCCACCTGCCACACCTGCCACACCTGCCTCTTTGCCCCTGGGGGCTGCCCCAGCCCTGCCTCGAATGGCCCCAGTCCTCTTGCCCGGCCCGGCTCTGGCCCAGCCCCCACTGGGCAGCTTAGCTCCTTTCAGTTCAGGTGAGTGGAAGGTTGGGAGGAGCTGGAATTCAGAGAGCATTTCCCTCTAATGACATGCCCTTTTCCTTCTTGACTTCCCATCTCCAATCACCTGTAGTCTTCCTTTGCTTCCGGTTCTTGGGGGGAAGAAGGGAGGAAAGGGGTCATGGAGGCTAGCTGTGGGAATGGGTGGGTGAGGCTGGAGGTGGCCTAGAGCAGGAAGGAGGAGGGGCTGGGAGGTGGCTAATCCTTCATCATTCCTTTCATCTCCCTAGGCCCTGCAGCCTCCTCAGGCCTCCTCGGCCTCGCCACTTCGGTTCTGCCTGCTACCACAGTGGTCCAGACAGCTGGCCCAGGCTGCCCCTTACCTCAGAGATCTGTGCCCGACCAAATCAACGCCTCCACAGCAGGCACCACTGACCCTGCCCCAGGCCTGTCTCCTGAGCCCTCTGGGGACAAGGTCTCTGGTGAGCGAAAACCAATTGCAGCCCCCACCAACTCCTCCACCGATGCCCTCAAGAACCTCAAAGCATTGAAGGCCACTGTCCCAGCTCTGTTGGGGGGCCAGTTCCTGCCCTTCCCACTGCCCCCTGCAGGAGGGGCCACACCGCCGGCTGTCTTTGGCCCCCAGTTACAAGGAGCCTACTTCCAGCAGCTTTATGGCATGAAGAAGGGGCTGTTTCCAATGAACCCCGTGATACCTCAGACCCTCATCGGACTACTCCCCAATGCCCTCCTCCAGCCACCGCCCCAGCCCCCTGAGCCCACAGCCACGGCACCTCCGAAGCCTCCTGACCTGCCCGCACCGGGGGAGGGGGAGACCGGGGAGGCGGAGGAGCTGCTGGCAGGCAGCCCTGGCATCTCCACCGTGGACGTGACCCACCGCTACCTGTGCCGCCAGTGCAAGATGGCATTTGACGGGGAGGCTCCAGCCACGGCTCATCAGAGATCCTTCTGCTTCTTTGGGCGGGGCTCTGGGGGTTCCATGCCCCCCCCACTTCGGGTGCCCATCTGCACTTACCACTGCCTGGCGTGTGAGGTGCTGCTGAGTGGGCGCGAAGCCCTGGCCTCCCACCTGCGCTCCTCGGCCCACAGGCGAAAGGCAGCCCCACCCCCAGGGGGCCCACCCATCATCGTCACCAACACTACCACCGCCGCCACCGCTGCCGTGGCTTTTGCCAAAGAGGAAGCAAGATTACCTCACACGGACTCCAACCCAAAAACTACTACTACCTCTACACTTCTAGCTTTATAAACAAGATAAAAGATAAACCAAGATCTGGGGAGAGGGAGGACCTCAGGGCTCCCTCTCTTACCCCAAGGGGTGTTTAGTGAGATCTCAAATCCCTCACCCCAACCTTTAGCGCGCCCACCTCCTGGGGATTCAATTCCCACCCTCAGTGGGCTTCACACACCCACTTCCAGCAGAGTCCTGCCTCCTCCCCTCCCCACACACACTCCACTCCTCCTTGCCCTGTGACTTCACAGACATCCTCATCTTATCATCCTTGTTATTCACTCATGTCTGCTCTGCTCAGCATTCCCAGAATCTGTCCTTGATCTATCTTCCCACAACTTTCCCCCCACTGAATTCCCAGTCACACCCCAACTCCTGTAAACACACACTAGTACATGTTCTCCTGTGTTGTTCCACTGACTGAGAAAACACCAAAAAAAGAAAAGAAAAAAAAAGGTGAAAGAAAAAGGAAACCCCAAGACAGAGAAGGGGGAAGGAAAATAAACTGTCGCTCCCCCCTTCTCCTTCCTGCCCCCTGTCTAAAGCGCCGTGCCGCTCAAAAACTTTCCAAAAACCCAGCTGGCTCCTGATGTTGGAGCCTGGGATGGGCAGGGAGCCCACAAGACTAACCAAACTTTACGTTGGCGGGGAGATGTGCTCCCGGCTTACTCCTCACATCCTCTTCACCACCTTCCTGGCAGGGAGCCCCGTGGCCTGGACTCTAGGGAAAGCTGCCACCAGGGGTCCCTTTGCCAACCCCCACCCTGCACCCTGAGAACTGCAGTCACTTATTCTCAAAGGCTTTAAACACAGAGATCCTCTCAGCAGCCGTGGGCCTGCCCCTGTCCCCACCCTGCCACGTGGGGTCCAGCCTCTAGGACCGGCGCTGCCCACCAACGGCAAATCCAAAGTTCTTTAAAAAACAAAACAAAAACTGAAACACACACACAACCAAAAAAGAGAGAGCGCACACATGTGCACAGGAGTGAGAGATGGAGAGACCGGAGGAATGAACTAAGAAGAAACAAACTTGGAAAATACAGAAAAAAAGAAAGAAAAAAAAAACACCTGAAAACTCTCCCACCAAATAAGTGGTTTTTTTCCTGTTTGTGTCACCTCCCCCCATTTTAAGGGTTTCTTTAAAGCACCTCATCTTTGGAAGGTCAAATGGCTTTAAGTCCTTGCCTGGTACGGTGAGTGGCCCTGGGGACAAAGCAGTGCAGGGAGGGGGCGCGGTAATGGGGAGAAGCCTGGAGATGGGGAGACACATCCTTGCCCCTGAGTTGCGTATTTGTCAGGAGAAGTAACATCCCCATCCCCAGATGTGGGTTAGAAAAGCCGGTGCTGCCAGCAATGCCTTGGCGGTGTCAGGAAGAAAGGGGTGGACGGGCAGTTTGATTTCCGAGTCTTGGGCATGCTTCCTTTTCATGTAGCTAGTCACCATTTCTTCTTCACAACTTTCATAAACCCCTACTCCTTTTCCCTCCCTACTGGCCCCTTCACGTTGTTGTCACTTCTTAAACCTCCTTGTCTTTGGGGATCCTTGTTCCCCACCTGTATTCTTCCCCCTTGTTATATGCCCTGGCTCCTGTTCCCTTCAGCCCAGCTCCTCCAGTAAGCAGCATCTGCTGGGAGCACCCCAAAAGGAGTCAAGGTCTGGTAAGCCCATGGGGACCAGAGCATGATTGCAGGGTGATGGGTGGACAATGACTAAAGCACAGGTGAATCTATGATAGGGTGATGTCACCTAGAGGAATGAACTGGGACAGGTTCCCTCTCTATCCTAATTGTCTCTGTAATAATCAGGTGGTAAGTGCAGCAACCCCAAAGCCCAGCTAAAGTGAAATGGGGCAGAGAAGCAGGTATTTTATTTTAGCACAGAAAAGCCCCCAGAACCTTCTCCTACTACCCTTGCCCCCAAGAACTTCCCTTTGGAGAGAGTCTGCTTCCGGCTTCCTCCACTTCCATTCTCTGTTTCAGATGCGCACACACACATTCAGCCAGCCCTGTATCTGAATTTCCCAGTCTGTCACTCCGCTCTGTGGACATGTTAATACCGAAGCAGTGGGTTATATGCAGAAAAGATGGAAGGGGAGAGAAGGAAGGAAAGTGGCTGTCCCTAGTCCCTGTCCCCTTCACTTCTCAAATTAAAAGCTCCAATTCTAACAAACCAGGGTGGGGTGGAATTAGTTATTCTGACGATGCCAAAAATGCCAGTTATAAACGCAGGCAGGAGGATAGAAACTGGCCTACTGTGGTCTTGCTGCCACCTTCTCTCACCTGTCAACACCTCTCTCACATCCTTCTCTTCCCCCCTATCCCTTTTCTCTCTCCTGTTGAAATTCTATGTATAAAACTATTTTCTTAGCAGCATGTGTATGAAGAAAGAAACTTTTTTTCATTCTTTGCTTTCTGGGAATGTGACTTGTGTATAAAAGTTGAAAACAAACCAAACATCTTTTTTGAAGAATAGGAAAAAAAGGAAACATTTTAAAGAAAACCTTGGCAAACACCGGGTATGGGATGATCAGAGTTGTGCTGCCATGCATTTTAGGGATTTGCAGCCAGCGTAGCTTGGCTTTAGTTAGAACCAGGAATGTTTTCACCGGGAGTTAATATAGCCAGAAATCCCTCCTCCTTTGGCTATATTACATCATATTTTACACCCAGATACCCTGGCCTGGCCATACCAGGGATGTTCACAACTGTAGTCAGGAGCAGCTGTCCTTCCCAGGAACCTGTGACTTGGGGGACAAGAGCCTGGCTGCATCTGCTGACTTGGGTCGATCAACATGCTTCTGGAGGGTACACCACTCCATGTTCCCAGCAGCCGGAAGCATTCCCCCAACCCCTTCCTCAGCCCAGGAGGCCTCAGTGCTCCCGCTCCAGAGAGGCTCAGTGAGCAATTCTGATGGACAGAATGCTAGAGGTGAACACCTGAGTCAAATCATGTTGCTTCTGTGCAGTAGTAAACCCAGCTCAAGTACCTGACACAGCAACACCTATTTTATAGATAATGCCACAGCTTAAAGTGAGCCTGAATTGGTGGTTCCTAAGATTGGTCTTTCATGGCTTGGGGCATAGGCGTAGGGTTTCTGATATAGTGGGTCCTAAAACATCAAACTTCTGGTCCACTCTACTTACTGCCAGAGTCAGTACCAGAAGACGGGAGGAAATGATCTTGGCTGTCTTTGCTCTAAATCAGTCTGGGTAGGGATGACTTAAGGTACCCAACTCTTAAGTGGGAACAAAATCAAAGTCTGTCTACAGAAGACAGTGGCCAACACAGTCTGCAATAAGAACACAAAAAGACACCTGTTCTAACCCGACCCTCTAGCCCCTGACTAGATGAAGCATGCACAAGAACAGAAAGAAAAAAAAAAACACGATTATTTGGGGCACAACAGCACCTACCTCCTTACTTCCTTGTATTTGTTCCTTAACCACTTCCAGGGCTTATAGACCAGATCACTGATTCCCAAAATCGTCACCACCCTGATCTGCTTTGAGAGACATTCACTCAGGCAATCATTCAGTCACCCCTGTATAATATTCTCACCTGAAGTACAGAGCTCTATATATAACTGCACCAACAAAACAAGCAAGCACAGCCTCAGAAATAGCAGAACCGTGCAGAGAGAGCTGTAGGGATACCCACAAATGTAGCAAGTATAGGGCACAAGGGGACATGTCCCAGACTCACCACCAACACTCCCCTAAGTAGAAACACCCCCAGTACATATTTTCTTCACACAATAGTAGGTAGGAAAAGGTTATACATAAGGAGTGTAACATGCCAGGGAAAGTAACCGAATGTTGAACATGGGGAAAGGACCTTGCATTCCTTTGGAGTGTGACACTAGGGAGGAGAGGGATGTAGAAATCAGGAAACTTTGGGGAAAACTTATAGGCGACACTGACATAAACTGGGCCAGGTAGTGGGGAGCATTTCTCCCCAGGTTGTGGTGAGGAGCTCAAACCACCAGTGAGAAGCAATAGTGAGAAACTTGTAAGCCAGGAGGATGACATTTCTAGAGTTCTGAGTAAGGAAGAAATGCCCCCCAATACCAAGAAAGCTCTTGCTACAACAAAGGTATAGACTCAGCTCTAACCAGTTTGGCTCAGTGGACAGAGTCTGCCTGCAAACTGAAGGTTCCCAGGTTTGATTCCAGCCAAAGGCACATGCCTGGGCACATGCCTGGGTTGCGGGCTCAATCCCCAGTAGTGGTGGCGTGCAGGAGGCAACCGATCAATGTTCTCTCTCCATCACTGATGTTTCCATCTCTCCCTCTCCCTCCTCTCTGAAATTAATAATAAAAAATATATATATAAAAAAAGAAAGGCATAGACCCAGCCTCAGGGTCATTACAGCTTGGATACGTTGTGAAAAGATTCAGATGAAAGAAAAGCAAGGGAGAGGATGTGGGTAAAAGACCTAGATTACCCTCATAAAGTTTTCAGAAAGATGGGAAGTGATCCTCAGGGAACGCCCAGGGAGAGACTAACTTTATGGGAAGAACATATATGTGGTGTGTATGCTCCATAAAGACGACCCAGAAAGCTTTCCACATAAATGACAGACGGGTAAATGGCAATATTCCGTCAGTGAGCCTGGTGTTTCTTGCAGCTTTCCAGCCAGGGAGAGGTTACCTGGCTTGAAGCTAGTGGGAAGCAGATGATTACCAGTGGACCATAAAGAAGGTGAGGGGGAGAGGTGACCCGAGATTGACTCATAATCCTTCCCAACCATACACACATTCCCACACAAACCATGGCTACAACACCAGGACAAGCACCCAGCGGGCGCTGAGCACCACCCCACCTCTACCCGCACCACATCTTCTCCACTGGAAGGAGCCGCACTGTGCTCACTCCTGGACAGCCCACCAAGTGCTCAAACAACAGCATCATCTGCAACTTGCTGAGTATCGGCAAGGCCCGGCACTATGCTCACCTACTTCCGAGACCGGGACCCTGACCTGCCACGAGAGAAGTGTAACCAGGACCCGTCCCGTACT